AGCACTTATTTCAGGCTTATTTCCCAAATACCAATAAGTGCTTAATGGCCCAAATAAGTACTTATTTTTAAGCACTCCCAAACATGGCCTTAGATGATATGCACCCATGTATGCATTTGCATGGGTATCCTACTAGTATATATAATATAAGGGTTCATTTGGTTTACACTTGGAATCAGAATAAGAATTGGAATGATCTAATCCCTTCACCTATTTGATTCAGTCTAGAATCGGAATTGGAATCAGAATTGGCTGGAATGGATTCTCATTCCCTCATATGGGGGAATACTATTCCACCATGAATGGGAATGGAATTTCGATTCCACCCAACTAAAAAGTTGGAATTGGAATCGACCATTCTGATTCTGATTCCAAATTCCTATTCCGACAAACCAAACGGATCCTAGATATCATACTATACAAATACAGTATACTATAGCATGAGACAATTCCACATGAGGCGTGTGTTTCATCCTTTGTTCTACAACATGACCAATGACTACAGGCCACCTTTCTCTTGGCATGCTTCCAAAACTAGTTTTTTCCTTATGTACTAATGCACTCGTGTGCAAGTTTAAATATGTGGTTAGGCTTTTTATTAAAGAGGGTTATATAAATTTTAATTCAAAATAAAAATATTTTAAGGTAATCTTGTCCCCTCTAAGAGGGTTATTTATAGGCCCTATTCACTTTTCGATAAGTTACTTACCTAGGTAAGTATTTCCCAATAAAGACTTACCTAGGTAAGTGCATTTACCCATGTTCTTTTTACTTCCCATGTAAATAAGGCAATGACCATTTTAATCATAAAGATTCATTATTAAAAGGGGTATTCTTGTCTAGAGGTGTAAATCGGGTTGTGCTACCTGCAGCCTGACATGATGGCACGAGGGCCGTAGTGGGTCTAGGGTTCCAGGTCCACGGCCCAACACGACACGACATGACTGCATGTTGTGCCACCCATGGCCTAGCCTGTAGGTCCACAATGGATCGTGCTTGACCTGCCTGATGAAGTAGCCATTGGGAACCTCCCCAATGGCTAATTTTAGCTTTTTAGGGGTTTTTTATAGAAATACCCCAAACAACTATAAACAACTATATAGAGGGTATTTATGTATATAAACAACTATATAGGGGGAGAAATAATGACACAAATGACTCCAACAACTATATAACAGCTAGTTTGGGGGCATTTTGTTTAAAGTGATAAATAACTTTATAATAACCAAACTACCCCTCCCAACAACTAAAAATTGTATGTTTTTAGGGTATTTGGGCAATTTAATTATTTTCAATTCCTATAAATAGTCCTATCCTCCATCATTCTCATCACACAAATTCAACAATTCCTATAAATAGCCCTATTCTCCACCATTTTCAATTCCTACAATGATCAAAGTCAAGAACAATAGGAAAAGATGATGAAGTCAATATTTTTTGTATACTCAATAGTTGTATAACATTTTTTTCAAATTATTATAAATTTTGTTTTAATTTTATTTAATTTATTTGATATTTTTAATAACATATTTTTTATTTTCAATTTGTAACTATATTGTATTTTTTATATTTTATTAATTTATTCCATTTTCCAATTTCCATATTTCATTTATCCAATCATTGTATGCTTTGTATCATTCAAATTTAAATGAAATAAAATTCCTATTTTTCTTCCAATTTATTATTCACTTTGAGTCTTTGTCTCTTTGACTTCTTATTTGCTCAAGTATTTTTTTTTATTTCTTTGTTAGATTTCTTATTTTTCAAATAGTTCCCAAAGGAAAGTTAAATATTTTAGTTTTACTTAGCAAAGAAATAAAAAATGTAAAAAAAAAATAAAAACAATCTGGCCCAGTTTGGTCCACGCCTAAGGCTCGGCCTGTGGCCCAGCCTAGCATGGCCTGTACTTTGCACAGGCCACAGGCAGGCCTGACATGACCCGTTTTACACCTCTATTTTTTGGTCCCGTTTAAGTGTTGGCAACTTTCCCTCCCAAGTGGGGAAGTTATTTACCCACCTAGGAGATGAGTATCACTTACCTGCCAAGTTGGAAAGTTATTTACCCACCTAGGAGATGGGTATCACTTTCCTTGGTCCCTATATAAATCGAAAAAAAGAACATGAGATTCTTTGTCAATGGGAATCAAAATCCCATTGACCAACTTTTCCCCTCTCAATATCCAAAAAAAAAACACCCCCATATAGAGGTGTAAAGTGGGTCGTGCCACCCTCCCCAGTGAAAAGTTTGGGGGTTGACCTGGCACGATCCACGGCCCAAGCCCGTGCGGGCCCATGCTATGCCATGGGCTGGCCTGGCCTGGCTTGGCTTGGCCCAAGCCAGGCCAAAGCTATTTTTGCCTATTTATTTAAAAATCTTGAAAAAAAAAGCTTACAATTTTAATTTCATATGAAGTTTGATGTATACAATTGCTTATATAGGCAATAATTAAATAAATTAGTATAATAAAATTGAAAGCAAATGTTTATTTTATTAATATATTATATACTATATATTATTATATAATTATAATTTATATAATATATAAATATATAAAATATGTAAATAAATATATAATATATTATATATTATATATAAATAATATATATGGGTTGCAGGCGGCATGACCTGCTTGGTCGTATCATACCGGTTTAGCCCGCAGACCTAAAACCCTATGCCCGGCATGGCATGAACCAACATGCCAAGCTACAGGCAACACAACCAGATTTACACCTCTACCCTCATTACCTCATATAAGTATATAATATAGTAATAGATGGAATTTTCTTTTTGCCAAGAGAGAGAGAGATTTAAAGCTTAAAAGCATTTTTCTCAAAAAGCTGTAACTAAAAGGCATCCCATAAACAGAAAAAATACAATTATCAAGATACACACAAGGTTAGGTCTGCTATCATCATCTAACCCTTGTCTCTCTGCTCTCATGGATGTGAGATCTAGCTTTGTCTTCACCCTCTCCACTACATGCCAAAAGGTTAGGTCTATATCCAGTTCATCCCTGTTAAAACCTCGTAAAGTTGGGATCAACGTTGGATAATGGCCTTCATATGACATATGACAGATCCGGCTATCCCACACATTATATAAATTTCATTCGGACCACTTGCCAAGTGACAAATTAGAATTCTTTTTTTCTTTTTATTAAATTAATAATATTGAGGAATTTTTAAAATTAATAAAACTTATTGCATAGAACTGACGGTCTGTATCTCCTACTCACAACCGTACCCACAGGACACCACATCTAAATCCGGGTCACCTGCACGTCCCAAACCTCTACCAACATGATCTTACACTGTATATCTCATACATGACAGGTCACAGTCTCATGATGTACGGTGTTAAATCAAGTTGACGGAGGATTGGGACGTGTTTTGTTGGCAGAAGATCCCACCTCACCACACCCACAACGCAAAAACTGATTTGGACTGTGTAAGTAAATGCTTATCACAACCTAAAAGGTTGATGGGTTGGTGTGATTGCGTGGTTCCTCCACAAGTCATTGCAATAGGATTAGCAATCAGCTGAAGCAAAATTTCCAGTTTTGATGTATCCAGAAAAAAATAAATAAATAAATAAAACGTTAGGATCAGGGACATCATTTAATTGGCCCCACCCAAGAGAATGAATCTAGCTAGACACAGTAGAATGATAAGACCAATTCATTTGCATTAGATGTCATTCAAATGAAAGATAAGCACTCAAAGAAAAAAAAAAATTCTCTCTACCACTTTTGGTTTGGATTTAAATTTTCAAACGTGGGTTCTACTTAAAAATCAAAGGGATCTCTCAGTCAAGATTACAAAGTCATAAAATAATGAGAACATGGCGAACTTTGATTCAATGCAGAGGAAAACAAATTATTTCTTGATAGTAACGCTCATGGAAGCTTCCAAGAGATTTAACATTCTTAGAGAGAAGTCGTAGAAGGGAGATCAGAAGACCATGGAAACGTCAATCGCCAAGCCATCAGCCATGCTGACTTTGACGATTCAAGACGCTACCATGCTTTAGAAATAAGTAATCATTCATCATAATTTACTGTAACAATGATAAAAAAGGACCTCAGTGTTATCCGGACCAGATCCTTACCCGGAATCCGAACGGGTATGGCTAATAAAAGAGGTCGGATTACATGCACGGGTCCCTTGTCGAAGATTGTGACCGACCATAAAAGCAGACCTAACTAACTGCATGTTCATGCAAGCAATGGAATGGGGATTTTGAATGAGAGCGGCGTTCACGAGGATGAAGAGGATATCTGTTGGTTGGGCTTGGGCCCCGGTGGATCGACCCGGCTGATGGGGTGTCCAAATCAAAGTCTACACCTACGTCACATCACGTGCACAACTATGCAATTGATTTTCATCTACATTCTACAGTTTAACGTTGTTCATCTCTTGAAAAGAGAAAGCTGAGATCCGATCCAAATATTGGACCGCGGAAGAGAATTCAAGGCTTCAATTTCTTTTGGGTGAACCGTTTTAGGTGGGTGCCGGGCACCGGTTGCTCTGCAACTGGATCCTCCGACTTCTGAATGTGCTCTAGGTGACAAGTTATGGGAATCCTTTTTATACAAAATGTAGACCGTTAATCCTGCATGGATGCCACGTGTCAAAAGTGGTTTCTAGATTGTCCATTTTATTGAAGTCTGACCACATGAAAGTTGGAGCCACTGTTACTCGCGTGTCGCGTCAGCCTAGAGTGGAATCTACCCATTCAGGAATGGGCCTCTACCCAGATCCGTGGAATCTTATCCGGGTTAATAGAAAACAGAAAAGAATATAATTGATTGAGTTTAAAACCGGGTAAAAATCAAAACCCGTTTAGTGAAGGGAATAACCAACTCTGAAGAATGAGAGAGAGAGAGAGAGAGAAAAGAGGGTGGAAAGAGAGAAGTAATACAGGATAAGATGACAGTATAAATGCAAGCAGGCCCCGCAGCAAACTCTCTCGTTTCCAAAATCACATTTTTCTGTACAAAAAAACCACAAATTGGCCTGCCTTTGCCGGCTTTCCTTAGTTAAAAATTTCACGTTTTTTTTATTTCTTTTTTGGCTTTTGTTTCCTCTCTCTCTCTCTCTCTCTCTCTCTCTCTCTCTCTCTCATGAATCACAAATCCTTCTTAGGCGTTTGAAGGAGTAACAGAACATTCAGATTTCCTTCTACGAAAAATGCTGTATTAGTTAATAGTTGCAGTCACGTTAAACACCCCATTGACTCTCCTCTCTCCTGCAGTCTGTCTTAGCCTTGCTCCTCACGTCTCTCTCTCTCTCTCTCTCTGCAACCCACAAAAAGCCCATTGAGGAAATCCAGACCGATCCATCCAGCCATGCCTCTCTCACCCAAACTAAGGTGCGCTCGATCAGACACGCCATGAGTGACGCTCGAAGTTCCTCCTCCTCCGACGCTGATTTCGCTTCCATCGCCACCACTCAGCAGGTAATCTTTTCCCATGTTCCCTTCTCTTGACTCTTCAGCTGCCTTTTCAAATAACAATATTCTCTCTTCTTGACGACTCACCCATCTTCAAACGAACTTCAAAAAAATAGTAAAACTGATTTTTCTTAAATTTTTCTGATAAAAATTTAAGCTTCCGAACAAGAAGTTTTGTAGAACAATAGTAGTTACCGTGAAGCATTCATTTTACTTTCAGAATGGTGGGCGAAGTCCGATTAGTGATGATGGAAGCCAAACGATGTCCCCTGCGAGAACTCCTGAACCGTCGAGGCATTGGAGGGATGTTTTCTGGTTGGGAATATTCACTGTGCATTTGATTGGGCTGGCATTCGTTCTTTCGGTTCTTGGGATCAATAGGTTTAAGAAAGCAGATAGGCTTAACATTGACAGGTATACAAACAGGATACTTGAAAATCAGGCCGGATTGACCGAGACATACTGGCCCTTGTATGCTGTGGCCGGCGGAGTTGGTACTGTTCTTGGATGGGTTTGGCTGTCATTACTCGGGTCCCGGGCGAATCAGATGATGAAGGTCTCGGTACACATCTTGACTACTTATCTAGCTGTGATAAGTGTTCTGTGCTTCTGGGGTGAACAGATTTTCTGGGGTATTGCGTTTGCTATTGGCGCGGGTTTGCAGTTTTTGTATGTAGTTTCAGTTATAGATAGGTACGATTTTAAGGTTTAATCTATTTACATTTCAATGAAATCTTTAGTTGGTTCTGGCAATGGTAGTTTGATTGGTAGGAAATATCTCTTTTTTTTTCAATTTTTTGTGCTTGCATGATTTTTAGACATGGACAACATATGTTGAATTCGCAAGCTCTACAAACTTGCTGAACCCAGTATAGTGAACAGTTGAATAAAAGTTTGACATGGTGGTAGCTCATTCCACAGTTAAGTCTGAGGCTTTAATTGTGTTATTCTCTAAGAAATTAGTTACTGGAGCCAGAGTGATCTTATTGTTTTTCCAATTTATCAACTTATCATTAGTATATGCACTGTCAAGGTTATCAAATGGCTTAACTTGTAAACGGGATGTGCATACTTTTCAAGAATAGAAATAGCATCATCTGATGCTATATTCATAGAATGGATATAGCACATTCTGAGGCTTAAGCCTCATGAGACTTCATCTGATTAAAGGTTAATGCAAATGGAGAACATATAGAAAATTGAGAAAAATAAGGACCGCTGACATTTTTAAACTGGAAAGAAATTATGTAATGGTTCAACATTCACATTAACAAGTGTGTAAAATGCAGGAGAGACTCAATTAAGATAATCCTTTTTATTTAGGGCACAAATCAATAGTTAAGTTGTTTAGAGAACTAAGTGACACAATTTTCCACATCAAAACATGGTATCTCTCCACTGTCTAAAATTTAAGTACTTCAACAGTAGAATCCCAATGTTCTGTATTTTTATAAGAAGAATCTCCGTAACTGAGATGGCTGAAATTGCATGCAGTTCTTCTTAATCCGAAGATGATACTAGCAGCAAATTTTGATAGTACTTATGTCTATCATGACTCTATTGATGCAACAAATCTCTTGCACCTCAATATTTTATCAATAAATTCAAAAACTTTATATCTTGTATGTGCACTCTATAATCTGTATTTGTATTGGCCCATTAAAACCAAATAAAATAAATTATTTATTTATTTTTGATCAATATAAAATAAATTATTTATAGATGCATTTGTGTAGCTTTTAGTCACACAATTGGATGATGCATACTTCACATCCCTCATCCTAGCAATCTCATTATTCCTTGATGTATTTAAGAAAACATATTCTAGAAGGGCAGTTGTTACAGAGCCTTTTTCTTATTGTTCAAACTTGTTAAATAAAGGCTTGGTAGAATAACTTATTAGCAGTTTTCCCTCTGACTTTCTATTATTCTTCCATAGACTTCCTTTCTCCATGCTGGTGTTGCAAAAGGCTGTCAAAATGGTATGGAGCCTTCCTGAAGTTATGAGAGTAGCCTATGCATTTACAGTAATCATGCTATTATGGATGGTGATATGGTCTTTTGGAGCAGCTGGTGTTGTCGCTTCAAGCATGGGTGATGGTGGGCGCTGGTGGCTTCTTGTGGTGAGCTGGCAAGTTTGCTCTACATTCCATCTAATGTTATTGGAATAATACTGGCAATTTAGTACTCATGATCAATCACTAATGCAAATAAATGTTGTTATTTGTACGAACAGGTGCTTTCTGTGAGTTTATTTTGGACAGGTGCTGTCCTTTGTAATACAGTTCATGTTATTGTCTCTGGAATGGTTTTTCTTGTTCTCATCCATGGTGGCCGAGAAGCAGCATCTATGCCTCCCAAACCATTGACAAAATCTTTAAGATATGCTGTTACGACTTCATTTGGCAGCATTTGCTATGGATCACTATTTACAGCAGCTATTCGGACATTGCGGTGGGAGGTAGATTTGAAACCGGAGCATTTTTAGTTATCTGGCTTTCTTCATGATTGCTGTTGAAAACATATTTTTGTCAATGGTGGTCATCATTATCCTAGCTATCACCTTCTATGGTTTGACCTGCTGAATTATGTCTTAAAATGTTCCAGATCAGGGGATTCCGGTCAAAGATTGGCAATAACGAGTGCTTGCTTTGCTGTGTAGATTTCTTGTTCCATCTTGTTGAGACACTAGTTCGTTTTTTCAATAAGTATGCCTATGTCCAGGTAGGCTGTCTGATCTTATCTTTAAGTTACCTTTCAAGATGCTAATAAAATTTCTATTTTGTTTGTTTATTTATTCATTTTTGGTAGGTAACAGCAACATTTGCTTCAGTAATAAAAAATGGTGTACAACAAGATTGTCGAAGGAATCAGTGTAGGTCTAATTTGTATACAACTTGTGGTTGATATTCTGGCATATGGACAATAATATGCATCTTTTTGGATAAAAACTGCAATGAATCTTGTCTGTCAGTGTATGATATCTTTATGTAAAAATTACATCCATACTCTAACCCAGAATTGTGACTGATCTTTTGGCTTTTGTGCTATTATGATCAAGTGATCAGACATTCTTTTTTTTTTTTTGATAATTGAAGTGATCAGACATTCTTATGAACTATAAATTTTAAAAGTGAGATGAAATTGAGTAACTACTAAGATATCTGGTAGTAAGGACAACATATTCTTCCCATGGATGCCTCTTTGCTAGAACTTAACCCTTGTTGAGAAGTTACTGTGTTTAGTTTCTATAGGACCAGACATTACCAATTCCTATGCTATTATGCTGTATGGTCAATAGCATGGTCTGAAATCTTCTATTATCTTTACCTCTCCAGATAGCAGTTTATGGTAAAAGCTTTAATCGTTCAGCAAGGGATGCCTGGGAGTTATTCCAGTCAACTGGTGTTGAGGCACTTATTGCCTATGATTGTTCAGGAGCTGTTCTACTAATGGGCACAATCCTGGGTGGGCTTGTTACTGGAACATGTTCAGGAACTTGGGCATGGTTCAAAGCAAGTGACAGAGTTATTATGGTTGGGTCTACTGCTATGCTGATGGGGATGATCTTGGTAAGTACTCAAACTTTTCATCCCCCGTCTTGGATTGCATTCAACTCTTATTCTAATAAAAATGGAACTTTTATGCTACTTGTAACAACCTGCTTTAAATGTTACCTATTAATTCTAGATTACATGCTTAAATTTAAACTAATAACTTACTGAAGTGTCTTTATACCACACCATGATCACTGTATTAAGATCCATTTGATATCTCATGAGAATGCTTGGCTGAAGAAAAGTAAAGGTAGCCTTTCTGACGGTACATAATTAATCTTGAGGGTGTCAATTATGTTTGACTTTGAAATGTACTTGAATCTCTGGGCATCATCCTCACTATCTGGTTGTACGAGATGTCATGTGGCAGTGATTGTATGAATTGAAGGTTTCTTTTAGGCTCTGTTTGGTTTGAAAGAAAAGGTAGGGAAACCTATAAAATAGTATAGGACTCACCCCTACCTTCCCCTACCTTTTCTTTCAAACCAAACACAACCTTAAGGATTGCCAAGCCATCAACAGGTGGACATCAAGCACAATCCTTGGACTAAAATCTTTTGATTAAGATTTAACAATTGGGTGCTATGTTACCCAAATACAGCCAAGGTTCAAAATATCGGTACGCCTGATACGCCGGTAGGGGCGTATTGGGCATTTCGATACTTGTTTTTTTATTTTTTTTTTCAAAACTGGTTCAGGGGAGCTGGTCTAGGACCCCTCCATCCCCTGAACCGGTCAGACCCCCAATACACCCACTGCAGGGGCATATCGGAAGGGTCCCGGAATGATACGTATCAGCCGATACGTAACGATACTTTGAACCTTGAATACAGCAATGGCATGACTGGACATAGTATTGAATATGATATTTACACTAGAATTTGGAATATCTTAAAATTTAGCACCCTTGGAACCAGGTATTGAGACTTCACTGCTAGAATCTTGACTCTGATGAGCAGAAAATTCCTATACCATGGTCTTTATACATGGACCTAAAATCCTTAATGATTCCATTTATTCTATCAAATGTTCTAGTTGATTTTTTTTTTTTTTTCAACAAACCCCTAGTTGAGAAGATCCTCAAACCATTTTATCCTTGAAGAAACACTTAAATTTTCCTGCTCGGGATGGGTCTACACCATTTATTTTGATAAACTGGGCACGCCCATAGTGAAAAGAACCAAAGTTTGTCATCACCTGAATCAAAATGGGGATGTTGTCTTTTGAAACATGTACCATTTTCAGAAATGATTCAGGGTGTGCCTCCATGAAAAATAGTATTGCCAATCTCCCTGCTGTACAACTATTTGAATTGCCATTTTGATCTCCACCAATCAAGACTGATAAAGCCTCTCTTTGATTAACCTTGTATTCATCAATCTATCCAGATCCTTGCTGCAGAAGTCTCCTAATGGTTTAAGGCCATCTCTCACTTGGGGGTGATTGAACAAGCATTGTCTGCTATGTGCAATGAAGTGATAATTAAGTATTGATCGCGTATTTAACTATTTGGAATGTTAGCTTAGCTTTACATTCATTCCTATTGTTTTGATATATATTGATTGGCCACAGAATCTGATACAACAAATATAAACACCATTTTCTTTTAATTTCCAGGTGGGGTTGGCAATGGTGGTGGTAGAAAGCGCTGTTACGTCCATATACATCTGTTACGCAGAAGATCCCTTGTTAATTAACAGATGGGATGCTGAATTCTTCAACCAGATGTCGGAGGCACTACACCAGCGTTTGCAGCACAGAAGCGCACGAGCAAGGGAAGTGTTGACCCACAACCGGTTTAATTCGATCTCTGTTTGAGTTTCCACCAATTTGTGTTATAGAATGTGGTGTGATTTGTTCCATTCCAATTTGTTTACCAGCACATAAAATATAGGTTGTTGGACAATTTTATACCCTTCACAACTGTTCTGATTCAGTAGTCCAGTGTTATTTGCTTGAGAATGATGTCAGCCACAAGGAGCAAGCTTTGCAACTGGGTTTGAAATTTCACAATTTTGTATCTAGAATGTAGTTTAATCATTGGTTCATCATCAATAATAATAATAATTCTCATTTGTCACATTAATTTTTATTTAATATAATGAATATATTATATTAAAGAATTTATATAATTTTCTTTACATATTTTAAATTTTTTATAATTTTATGTTTTTATAGTTAAATTTATCACATGACCCATTTGATCAAAACGGATTAATTCTGAATTGGTTTTTTGAACATTGGTTCCCACCATCTCAATTTATAGATTATATTCAAGCCTCCTGGCAAAAAACATATATCCATGTAAATATATTAACCGGTCCCTTGTGTTTACAAATTTAGGCTGCTTCTTACAACTTGACTGTAGTGTTCTCCAAACAAGCCTCCAAAAGACAGCATCTATTTCCTAGTTGGTGGTGTACTCTTGAAGCCTTGACTTGACTGTGTACTGTACTCTTGAAGCCTTGACAATTGACATCATTCACAGCATCTATTGTGATACATCAGGCTGCCTGCCATGTGGCTATTGCTAAAGTATGGCGTCCACCGCAAGCAACAAGCTTTGCACACCAACGTCCATCAGTACCATGCTTTGGGGGTGGGAGGTTTATTGGCACTTCCATCGGGTGACCGGTAGTTACTTTCCTCCCGTATCCGAGGCGTCCATGATCTCCACGCCCAAACTGCCATTACCATGTTATTTATCAAGAGAGAGAGAGAGACTCCAAAAATGGAAACCAAACGAAGCTAGCTTGATATGTATAAACTGGGTGCATCTTCAGCACAGAGATTGCCTAGGGCAAAATTCAACATAAGATGATCATGATCTTTTAGTTCTAGCAGTAAACCCCTGCCTCTGTGCACAAGGGACAAGGCATGTCTCCTTGCCTCTATGAATCCAGTGAACCCATCCAGGAAAGTATCTTCTACTCTGTACTCCTCTAGGTAAGCTCCTTTAAAGTCCATAACAACCATCGCAAAATGGCTCTATATAAATTTTAGGGTACTTACAGAAAACATACGTCCATCACGTGTCAATGCAACTGAATGTGTTCCTCCACATGACACCTGATTATATAATTAGGAGAGGTAAATTCAAATGGCCATGGATGATACCAGGAAATGGAAGTATGAATGTTTTTCCAATATTCCCCGTTTCTCATTTATCCAAGCAGGTTGGTACCTGACCAAGATATTTGGTGACAATGGCACTAAGGTACACCAATATGGTGATAAATTAACTATGGTTAATGAGACAATTAGCATGGTTAGCTCATAAAAATTACCTGCACTATATCCTCCCCAACAAGGAGTTGGACCTTCTGGGGCACCATTTTACTGCTCTTGTCATCTCCAAATCCAAGTCTACCATGCTCACCCCTTCCCCAACCATATACCTGCAATGCAAGAAACAAAGTACATTTTGTTATTTCTTAAATTCCACCAAGAGCATGAAAAATATTCATTCTTTGTCCATATTTCTGTAAATGCCAGCCTGCTAAAATCGCAAAAGCAGTTGGATTGTAATAGCCCACCTTAAGCTCAAAACCCATCTTAAACCACTTTACTGACCCACTAATCATCATGCTTAACCAGCTTTTAGTGCCACAGAAAGTTGGAAACTGATGCTTTCCTAATCATCTGAAGGTTGTTATGATGTACCCAGTGAGCATTAGTGATTTACCCTATTTTGTTTGTTTACATGGTTCCTAAATCCTAACATTATCCAAAACATAGCTAAGATCCCAAATCATTTTGCAATCTTCACTTCTAAAGAAAAGAAATGATGGCGAACCATTATACCTAGAAAATATTGCACTCTATGCATTTGAATCTTGAAGAAAAGCACGGTGATGCCAATGATTCTTTTTCATCAGTAACAAGATCAAAGAGATGTTATTGATAAAATCAGAAAAAGGTAAAAAGAAAAAAAAAGGGAAAATTCCAGATTAGTATCCTGTACTTTGGGTCTAGTGCCATTTTGGTCCCTGAATTTTAAAACACGACAATTTAGTATCCAAACTTTCAAAACGTGCCAATCTAGTACCTGCCATTAACCAGCCGTTAAGTGTCATTTGCAAAGACACAAATACCCTTCAAGTGTCATTTAATTCTCTTTATCAACCATCCAAACGTTGACAAAAAATGAACAGTCCAAATCCTTGCCTCTTCTGTTCAAGAAAGTTGGTGACGCCAGAATACCCACTGAGATATAGCCCCAACTTTCTTGAATAGAAGAGGCAAGGATTTGAGACTGTTCATTTTTTATCAACATATGGATGGTTGATAGAGAAAATTAGATGACACTCAAAGGGCATCTGTGTCTTTTCAAATGTCACCTAATGGCTGGTTAATGGATTGGTTAATGACAGGTACTGGATTGACACATTTTGAAAGTTCAGGTACTGAATTGTTGCATTTTAAAGTTCAGAGACCAAAGTGGCACTAGGCCCAAAGTACAAGGTACTAATTGGGAAACTTCCCAAAAAAAAAGACCTCAGAACTCATAACAAGAAAAAGCATATCCACAAGTAAAAACATAGAACCTCCCAACAATTATCAAAAATATCATTTTGAACATATACCCATATGTTCTTACCCTATATAGGCCTTTATGAAGGAACCATCTTCTCTTATGTCAAATTTACACATGGTTCTACCAACAATCATGGGAAAGAATTATAAGTATGGAAGAGAATATTATCATCCTTCAAGTATAAAGAGAAAATGAACATGGAATGTAAGTCTATATGCATGGTATAAGACTGCTAATCACACCTAGAGAATTTTATTATTCCGATAAAACTATAGGATCTCCCCTCTATAAATGTGTCTATAGCTCATAATTGTTTATTTGTTACTTGTTAGTAAGAGCTTAATGTTTGCATGCTAGTGCTTATGTTAGCTGAACTATATGCATAACTGAAGCTCAAAGAAGGAAATTCTTAAGTTTGACACAACTGGAGATAGTCGCCTATGCTCCAGTGTCTAAAAGAAAATGAAGTATTAGTTGAGTTAGACCAAACTATAAACATTATCTGCCCTCTCTTTTATCCCACAAAGGTATTATTCAATGTTTTATAACAACTACATATATTAATTCTTTACTTGATGAGAAAAAAACATCTAATAGAAGGGCAATAAAATTAGCAAGTGAAAAACAATACCTCTCCTTCATCTGTCAATGCAGTAGAATGCCATCCTCCTGCAGCAATATCAACCTGCAGACATATTGATTGAAATCATTATTGACTCCATGCAACAATGCTAACAAAGAGAGAACCAAGGTAAACATTTAAAATTAGCAATACAGGGAAGATCCATTGATTATAGGAAATTAAGGCATGAGATAAAAGCAAAACCAATTCATAATTTTGTAGTAGAAGCTTTTGCTATCTTCATCTTTGCCATGGTTTCAAGACCACTTTGTTGTTCTTAGCACCTTGGGAACCATCTAAGATGCCAGTGAATGCCCAAATGGAACACATATTTCATAATTAATACCTATCACTCTGACTTTTCTATTAAGATATTTTAAGCATTATGGGGTAGACCAATTCCTCCCAAAGTAGGTGCTTTCTGCTGGAAAGCTATCCTAGAAAAGTGTAACACTTGTGACTTACTTCAAAAGAAAAGGCCTAATTGGTGTTTATCCCCGCACTGGTGCATCTTATGTAAGGAGAATGGTGAGAGCTGCTATCACTTACTAGTTTCCTGTCCTTTCGTATCAGAAATCTGGTGTTGTTTTTTTTCTCTTTTTGGTTGCAGGTGGCCCTCCCCTCCAAGTGTGCAGAGCTTGTTTAACTCTACTTCAGTGAGGGATTTAAAAAAGAGAGGTAAAACTTTGTGGAGATGTGTAATAGCAGCTGTATTCTGGACAGTGTGGGAGGAAAGAAATCAAAGAACCTTCCACGAAAAAGAAAAAAACAAGGAAGCCATCATTGAATTAATCTATGTTAGGGTGGTTCATTGGGTCAAGACTATGAAGCTCTTTGAAGGTTATTAAACAGGAGATATCATTAGAAATTGGAAAGAAGTAGCTTGGTCTGCTCCCTTGAATACTTCCCCTATTCCAACTTGGACTCCTCCAACTTTAGAGTTCACTAAATTGAACTTTGATGGCAGCAGAGAAGGAAACCCAGGCCCTTCAGGTATAAGTGGAGTGTTTAGGGATGAAGAAGGTTGAATTATTGCCATGTCTTCAGGCCCTATAGGTTGGGGGAATTCTCTGAGAGCTGAAACTTTGGCAGTTCTGGAAGGGATTAAAAGAGAGAGCCCAGCATCTGAATATTAGAAAACTGCTGGTGGAAGGTGACTCTAGGCTGGCTGTTAGTTGGCTACAGAAGGAAGATTTCAGTCTGTGGAAGTTCTCAAATGAAAAAAAGAAAAGTAACCAGCTAACTCAAAAAATGCAAATTCAGGTTCAGTGGTCCAAGAGGAGTGCTAATTCTCTAGCAGACTCTTTGGCCAAACAAGGGGTGGGAAGAACTAATTTCTTTTGGGCATTGTTGTACTTTGATCTCTACTTTTAGGGAGGGTTAAGAGATTTTACCCCTCCCTTCCTGTTGTATCTTTCTCTCTTCTATTCCTCTTAATAAAAGTTTCTGTTATTGATCAAAAATAAAAGAGAGAAGCCATAAATGGATTTTTCTTTCCCATTATCCAGTTTTTTGGGGGTGTCAAATCTTCAGCAGTTGTCAACCAAGCTGTGAAGGCACCCAAGGAACTCAGACCAAATAACATCCATACATGGAACAGCCAATATTTTGAAAAACTAGATCCGACTGGCTGCTTGAACTGGGTTTATCCAGTTACCAAATATGACTTGGAATATGATAAAAAACAGTTGTGTCAAACCTGGTAGAAATGAGGTTAAATTGGGAGTGGAACATGAACCAGTACTTTTGTATGTTTCTTATTCAATACTTTTAATTGAATTTATTTACTACAGAAATTGAACTAATGGAACCTTGAACTAGGCTTTTCTTGTTCAGCATCCAATCTGGTTTTCAAAATAGTGAACAGAACCTATCAATTGGAGTGGAGCTAATGTCTTCTTTCATTTCAATTAATTTCATACACATTGCTACAGATAGAAGTAGCAATAAATTTTTCAGTAAATTACATATAGGTACCCTGTACTTTGGGGGTAGTGACAAATATGTATCCTGAACTTTCAATTGCAACACTTGAATACCCTGAACTCTCAAAAATAAACACTTGGGTCCATCCGTTAGTATTCCGTCAGTCAAACATTACATAATGCCAAAAATACCCTTCTCGTGCATTTGTGAGATCATTCTCAGGCAACCAAACGTCTCCCAATGATGATGTTCTCACATGAATAGCAAATATCAGATTCAAATTTTCTGACGATGGCATTCTTTGTTGATGATTTTACTCTGCTGAATGATCTTAAAAATACACGAGAAGGGTATTTTTTTACATTATGTAATGTTTAACTAATGGAATACTAACGGATGGACCCAAGTGTCTATTTTGAGAGTTCAGGGTACTCAAGTGTTGCAATTGAAAGTTCAGGGTACCTATCTGTCACTACCCCAAAGTACAGGGTAGCTATCTGTAATTTACCCTAAATTTTTTTAGGACTTCATATAATTTTTCAATGAAAGGGCCATGACCCAATATTGGTCCCATCCTTTTGGGATCTTGGAGGGGTGGACTGGATATGAACTTAACCTATGGCAATTTTGGCACATAGTAGCCACTCTCAGACTTGAACTCAAATTCTCACACTTGTCAGCCTGAGATTTTTTTATCATTACACCAAGCAATAGCCCCTATATAATTTTTAATGGCATATCCATAATTGATTTAGGTACTCATTAGACAAAATTCTTTAACTTTGACATAAATCCAGAAATAAGAATTCATGTAAGACCTTGGGTAGTTGTATTTACCACTTGAAACAAACAAAAAGTAACTTCCCATCAGTGTCTCAAAAGTGAAAAGCACAACCAAAGTGCAAGGGGTTCCTATGGCCTGAAGCACAGGGTGAAAGGTATGTGCACACCCAAATTAAATGAAATACCACTTGGAAAAAAGGGTTAATATATAGGAGAATACAACTCTAAATTCTGAAAGAAATAAAACATTTCGAAAAGCCTAAGTTCAATTTATTAGAGCATCATGTTATTAACACCAAGGTGCCTTATAGGTTCAAATCCTACATAGAGGTTGAACCATTTAAACTTTAAAAATGAGAACTACAATATACAATATAGTTGATTACTGAATCAAATATCAAATTCAAGGTTAATTCAACAAAACACATAACAAGAATCCAGGTAAGGCAGACTCCATAAAATGAGCTCCACCTGTTAGCTTAGAAAGCACTTCTAAAACATTGCACCCAACACCATTAATCACCACATCTCAACACTAGACTCATCTTAACCACTTTGAAACCATTAGGATGTTTCTTTTAAAGGTTATTATTCAGTTATTCTCTTAACTTCATCCACCCCACATGCATAGTTATATCTATAAGAAATTTCTGAAATAAATTTTGGCCCAAAGGACCTTGCCATGCACTCAAATGAAGCCCCTGTCCATATGCAGGTTTTATGTTAACAAATTAAAATTCACGATCAGCATCATCCACACCTTAACCCAACTATATGTGGTTGGCTACATGAACCTGCCTCACCAATCCATTCTATTTAAAGTTATATCCACTGTTAAGTTATTAATGCTTAAATCATTTCTTACTACTACCCATGACCAACAATAATTGGGAAACCAATACAAGGTGGAGTATGGAGCTGATGTAAGCTGGAAGGATAAACATGTGATCAACACAACACACAACATAAAAGCTAAGAATACTCAATAGAAAATAAAAGAGGAAAGAGAAAGATGAAGCATAAGATCGAGACAAACCAAAGTAAGACCAGACAGTCCCTGAACAGAGATAGGTTGTGATCTTGGTTGTGTGTCCCCAGTTCCAAGTTGCCCATATTCATTGTTGCCCCATGCCCACAATGTTCCTTCTTCTACTAAAGCCAAATTATGAAATGCACCCACTGCAATAAGCCTCACCTTTTCAAGCCCTTGTACTCGTACTGGAGTGGATATCTGTTTTCTGTGACAAATAAACAGCTTCATTCATTAGCATACAAAATGAATCAAAATATTCCTATCGTATCAGCTCCATAGTCAGACACAAGCAAAAACTAACAAAAGCCAGCTGCTCAAAAAACATACATATCTCCAGGAGGCCATGGTTGGCCCCATGTCCATACATGTCCTTCACGGGTAAGCACAACAGAATGAGTACCTCCAGCAGCTACCTGAATGATAAGCAGTTGAAGAATGTTAAGCACTTATCTGGAACTAAGACACTTTTTCAACATGGAGAAAAGGGGGAAGAAAATTTTTCATTTATTAAGAATTGTGTATGCATTGTATTATATGAAATATTAATGAATATAAAGCTTCCAGAGAAAAATAGTGATAAATACAAAGCTCACTACTCTGTGCCCAAGGCTACCCATAACCCTCAAAGCATGAATCTATACAAAATGTACAAAATAGCCATCAACTTGGTAATGAAGAAAGAGGAATAGCTCATTCTTTGGTGCTCCATCCTTCATGAGTCTGTTACTAATGGAAGTTGCAAATTTCTGAATCCAAAACAAGTTTTTCACTTAACATTAAGATAACACTTCACCTATTAAAAAAGTTTGACTTGGAGTAACCCCCCAAAGGGTGATTGCAACTTGCAAGAAATGACAGTGTGCTTTGTGAAGATATGATCTATAAATGAAGGATCATCCACCACAACAGAGTCTCCTTTTCTAGGATCACATACATTTTATTTTTCTTTAGCTTCTGCTAAAAGTTCACTATGCCAGAGTAGAGTTGGAAAATCTCTAAGAAATTTTGAAATCGATTTTAACAAAAGCAAGCTTTGGGTCAGTCTACACTTGGATTGAAGTGAGGTATATCCTACAAAATGAGCCTTACCCATGAACCTAGGCACACCAAAGCGCACCTCTTAAAACACTGGAAAATAGGCTGCAACAGTAGCTATGAAATCAACAAGTAGGATATGGGTGTTCAGGTGGAGATAATCATATAAATATAGTAATATAATAGGAACTTAGATGATATACAATGTAGAGACATAAAGGAATAAGATGTATGAGATAGAATAACTGAACCTTTCAATGGTTTAAGATTGAGCTCAAGTTACAGATAGAATCAGTGTTTCCCTTAAGAAATTACTTACAGTAAGCAATATGCCACAACAGCCAAATATGAGGGATAGTAGGTTTATTCATGCATATCTGATAAATATAATAAAGAATGCACTACTATATGAATTAAGGAGAAAATTCCAAACAAACTCCAATGTTTAATAGACTTGTAAGCTAAAAGAATTAGGATTTTTTTGGTAAAGAAGCTAAAATAATAGGTTTATGAGCTTGAATGAGAATACATACATATATATATATATATATATATATATATATATATATATATATATATATAGATATATTGATCAATTAGAATCTGTTTCAGCTGTTTATGAACTTCTACATGAACTCATACCAGATGAAGGTTGAAGGTTGGAGTAGCTATTTATTCTCACATTTCCATAATAGGTCTTTGGGCCTTCACTGTACAGTTCAATTCCACCTCAGGATGTTTACCATAAATGGAATCTTTTTTTAATCAATAACAGCATTTTCATTAATTAGACTGTAAATATAGTACAAGCAGGGAGATAAAATTTCTTAACTCCCCCTACTGAGGCCAAAGCCCCACACAATGTCTGAAATTACAACTGGGCCCAAAATAAATCTTCCCTACCCACCCCACTCTTTGCTAACTCATCAGCAAATGGGTTAGCAGATCTCTTCACCCAACTGAACTTCACTTCCATGTCCTTGACTAGCCACTTAAATTTTTTCTTTTCATTTCTATACCCCCATAGACCAGCCTTATCTTCTTTCAGCCACCCTACTACCTCCTCTGAATCCCCTTCAATTATGAGTCTTCTGATATTCATCTGCTTCGCTTTTTGGACACCCACAGCTGCACAGATCTCAGCTCTGAGAGCCCCTGTCCCTATTGGGCCTGAGAACAGAGCTAAGACAGTCCCATTCTCATCCCTAAAGACACCCCCAATACCTGAGGGTCCCGGATTCTCTGTGCTACTCCCATCAAAGTTCAATTTTAATTACCAATCTCACCCCACTTTCTAAGCAAGTCATCCACAATGAAATCTCTAAATAGCTTTGAGGATTTCAGCCACTGTCTACCCTGAAATGGATCAGGTCTATCAGGTCATCAGCCCTCCTCTCTTTTCCAGAAAACATCCTTGAATTCCTTTCCTCCCACAAAGACCAGCATACTGCAGCCCTTAGGCATCTCCACATAATCCTGTCTTTTTTCCACTGCCACCTGAAGAAGGAAGAAGAAAATAACATTTGCAAGCTCATAGGAGGGAGTCAACTGCAACCAAAAAGGGAAAGTGCCCATTCCTAAATCACTCTTACATATTAGCAAGAGACCAACATACAGAAACCAGTTTCCCTATCGGCTTTACAGAAAAAACACCAATGTGGAGATAAGCATGCCTTGGGTCTCTTTTTTTGAAGCAGATCACTAGTGTTGACTATTTCCAGAAATGTTTCCCAACAAAAACTCCCAACCCTAGGAGGAATTGGCTTACCCTAGATCTCTTTGACAAGGAAAGGAGGGTCCAAGGAGCTGGTAGGCTCAGTCAAGGTTTTGAAGAAAGAAGCAGAAGAGAACAAGCCTGAGGGGTGGATGCCCAAATTCTGGTTTCCTCCTTTGTGGGATCCAAGAAAATAAATTCGAGGAGACCAAGGAGAGACGAAATGCTGTTCAGGTCAGAGTCTCTAACAGCCCTTCTTAACCCCAGATTCCAACCGAACCCAGACTTGGAAGATGGGACAAGGAAGGAAGAGATATGCTCATTTTTCAGATCAAAGAGGGCATATAAAGATGGAAGTTGGTCGGTCCTTCAGAGGGGCATTCCCTAACCAAATTTGTTCCCAAAACTTTATGGAATTTCCAAATTTATGTCATACTTCATGAATGGGGAGAAAGCTGATAGTAGATTGTGGATGGCTCTCCAAGGTGAAGCATTTGTAGTCCTAACCAAAATTCCAGGATCACATCCATTGCCCTCTAGTCCGTGAATGCTAGCCACTATTTTAGCCCACTTCTTCTCTAACAAAAACCTCCATAACCACCTCCCCAACAGAGCCTTATTCCTTTTTCTAATGTTCCCTAGCCCTAACCCTCCTTGCTCCTTACTCCTACACACCATCTCCCAACCCACCCTATGGTCCCTCTTCTTGTCTCCTAGCTCCCAAAGAAAATCTCTCATTAGTTTCTCTAACCTATTAGCCACTGTTGCTAGAATCTTGAAGACCAACAAAAAGTAAATGGGTAAATTGGCTAAGGTAGCTCTAATGAGTGCAATCCTTCCACCAAGAGAAAGGTAGTTCCTTTTCCAAGAGGTGAGTCTCTTCTCAAATCTTTCCACTACCGGGTTCCAAAAGCCTTCTCTTTTAGGATTGTCTCCTAAAGGTAACCCTAGATAGCTCAAAGGCCAACTTGACACTACACACCCCAAAGTCTCTACACATTCCCTAACCTCCCCTTCTTCCAAATTCACCCCTACTACACAACTTTTCTCAAAATTCACTTTCAAGTTTGACATCTGTTCAAACACTTGTACCATCAATTTCAAGCTTCTAATCCAACACAAGTTTCCACCCTCACAGAATAGTATAGTATCATCTACAAACTGTAAATGGGTAAGGGATATCTCCTCCCTTCCTACTCTCCATCCTCTTATTAAATTCCTTGAATCTACTCTATGAATCAATCTCCCCAAAACGTTTGCAATTAGTGTAAACAGGAACAGAGAAAGTGGATCTCCTTGTCTTATTCCCCTTAAAGCCGGGAAAAAGTCTACGACTGACCCATTTACCAGCACAAAGTAATGATAATTCTGGACACACCCCATAATCCATTTGCACCATCTGTCCCCAAACCCAAAGTTCACCAAAACCTCCTTCAAGAAAGACCAATCCACTAAATCTATGCCTTTTCTAGATCCAGCTTGCACACCACCCCTTTCTTTTTGGCTGTTTTGAAATTCTCCAAACTCTCATTAGCAATTAAAATTTGATCAGTGATTTGTCTTCCCTTCACAAAATCTCATTGATTTAGTGCAATGATAGTTGGTAAAACTTGCTTTAGCCTTAAAGACAACACCTTTGTAATTATCTTGTAAAGGTTATTTACCAAGCTGACTGGTCTAAAATCCTTTGGTTGAGAGGCATCTTTCTTCTTTGGGATTAATGTAATGAAAGTAGAGTTCAAGCTAGGATTAATTACACCCCTTCTATAGAATTCATCAAAGATTAACATTATGCCCCTTTCCAAAACATCCCAACAGTCTTGATAAAACGCCATCGTGAAACCATCCATGCTTGGAGCTTTTTGTTCTGTCCATAGAAAATACCGCCTCCCTGATTTCTTCCACTTCGAATCTTCTTTTCAGCCATTGCCTATCTTCTGCCCCTATTTCCGGCCAATCCAGCCCTTCTACCCTCACCCTCCTGTTTAAAGGTCTTTTGAAAATGGACTTAAAATGCTAAAAGTGCCCCTGCTATCTCATCCCGGGTAGTCAGGACCGACCCATCAACTTCCAATCTAGAAATGGAATATTTCCTCCTCTTGCCATTTGCTAAAGAATGAAAATAACTAGTGTTTCTGTCATCCTCCTTCAGCCACTTGCAACGGGATTTCTGCCTCCAGCTTACTTCCTCCTTATACAACCACTCTCCCAATTGCCTCCTCAACCTCCCTCTCTGCTCTTTATCTCCCTCTCCAGAAACTCCCCTTTCTTCGTTTGGGTCCAACAACTCAATTTGGTCCATCAATGACCTTTTTCTTTCCTCTACCCTTCTATACTTTAACCGGTTCCACTCCCTAATCTTAACTTTTAGGTATTGAAGTTTCTTATGAAATGTCATATCGTCCCATTCCGTAAACCCCGGGTCAAGTAGCCACATATTTTCAAACCTAAAGGGGGCAGGTCCACGGTCCACCACTCCTTTCTTTCCTGCAAATCACAATGGGCCAATGATCTGATGTCAATCCTAGGAGTGCTCTAGGCGTTAAGTTTCCCCAATGTTCTTCCAAGTCTGTTGAGAAAAGAAACCTATCCTATTTAGAGCATATCGAGTTTGATTGGAGGTTGGACTAGATGAAGGTATTCAGGGCTAATGGGATCTGCTCAAAAGTATCGATAAAAGATTAAACTTCCTCATGCTTGTTGTTACTCTCTTATTGGGGTTGTTGGTTTCCTTTGTAAACCTAACCACATTGAAATCCCCACCCACACACCAAGGCCCCTCCTAAAGCCCCCATACATCAACCAACTCCTCCCACAATTGCCTTCTCTCTCTATAATTGTTTGGTCCATAAACATTCGTTAGCACCCACTCAAAACCATCCATGGGTTTCTTACACTTCAATGATACTGAATATTTACCAATCAACTCCTCCACTCCTTTAAGAACTTCCCTTTTCCACAAAGTTACTATCCCTCCTGAAGCCCCCCACGATGGGGCAGCCGCCCAATCAATCTCCATACACTCTTTGCCCATCTAGCATCAAAATCCATTCTTTTGGATTCCTGAATTAGTACCACATCCAGATCACACCTCTTAATTACATCTTTATTCGTTGCTCTTTTCCATGCACTCCCCAAGCCCCTCACATTCCAACTTAATATCTTCATGTACAACTTTATTCTTCCACCCTCCTACACCAAGCCTCTAATTCCCTCCCTTCCTCCTATCTCCTCTTACCCTAAACTGTTTGTCTCCCTCAACATCTCTTCTTAACCTCTCCACTTTGCTTAGCTTTTTCTTCTTGACTTTGCTCTCCTCCTTTTTCTTTTGTAACCCAGAATTCAGTTCATTCAAGTTCTTCACCTTACATCCTAGTTTTCCAACGAATTCTGCTATAGAATTTGTTTTGTTTCATTTTGGATCAAGTGAACACTCAACACCCAAAAAGTGATTCTCATGTCCAAATTTTGTTTTTGCTTTCATTCTTTCTCTTTTAATAAATGTTTTCATCATTATTAAGGAAATGCAACTTAGAAGATTGAGACATCTCCCTGAAAACTAAGTCATGCAGGATGTATAGGTTGGTGGTTCTGCTGTTGGAATGTTAATAAAGCTCCCTGAAAAGAAAATATATATATATATATATATAATGATTTATTATGTTTCCCATGGGAGGGGAAACACCACCATTTATTGACCCAAGATTTAATTCTGGTTTCTTCAGCAAAACCAGGAAACAAAGACTTCATCCGTGCAGCTTGTGAGGAGAGACATCCAATGCCTTAGTTAAAAATAAATAAATAAATAAACACTATTTCTTTTTCTATTCAAGCTCTCTTTTCACCATATAGATTTCACATCAATGTAAGAAAAGGTTATACTACTGTTAACAGAATTGCTGGTTTCTTTGGCTAAGCCAGTAAGCAAAGACTTCATTTATGCAGCTTATGAGGATAGATGCCCCAATATCTTAACTAAAAAGAACCACTATCACTTTTGTTCAAGCTCTATACTCACCATTTGGTTTTTAAGAAGGCTTTCCTTCCTCTAACAGAAGTCTAAATAAAGAAATAAATATCCACTTCCTACTCAAAATCCGGACATTATCTTGGTTACCATAACCTTGCTGCAGTACGAGATTCAAACCGAGTAAACATTTACAAAGTTGGTTTTTGAAAACCCATCTTAGTATGTATAGGGGGAGGATGTAGTACGGGATTCGGCCCAAGTGAGTAAACAATTACTAAGTTGGTTTCAACAACCCATCTTAGTTTCTTTTTACCAAGTTAGCGTTATCGCAGAATTTCCATCTTAGTTCATATTAACCAAGTTAGCGTTACAATGTGATTTCTGAATTCGTATTCAATTAGGACTTTCTTTTTGAGGAGTTTTAATGGGATTCTAAGGAGTGTTCAAGATAGATTAGGAAATTTCTTTGTAAGAGGCATAAAGGTGTAAAGAAATCTATATAAAGAGTAGCTAGGGCAAAGCTAGGGGAGTTTTGGTTGATTTTCTTATAAGTATTCAGTGAAGAGTTGTTCTTCCTGTTTATTTCGGCTTTAGTTCTTTTCTTTGAAGCTTCTCTGAATGTGATTTGTTTTCCGTACTACGCAAACCTCTTAATGGACTCTGACTGAAATCAAATAATCACACTTTAACATTAAACAAAATTGTAAATGCTAAAAGAAACCAATGGCCAAACATTGTGGTACCATCTAGATATGGGCCCACGATAGATTACACCAAATTGACCATCCCCAAAATGGATCTCTAAAGAACGACCAAGTTATATATGGACCACTGTAAACAGCAGGACTATAGTAAGTTTGCAACCAAACATTGATCTGAACTGGTTGTGGAACCCCATAAGCAAACCACAGGTCGTTCTTCCACTGATCTCATAGGTTGAACCAAGTTGTATTGGCCCTGTTTTAAAGAGCTTATCGGAATGCTCTCTAAGCTTTCCAAAGCCTTGAAGGAGTATCTTTATTAGATTTAAGTTTTATCTGAATTATCAGTTTCTCAATATCATCAATATTAAAAAATTAAGATATATTTCATACTGTTTCCAAATAGACATGACAGCAGGAAGGTTTCTATAATTTGGTACAAAATAAGGTCAAAATTAAATTGTTAGTGTAAAATCACCTGGCGAACCGAAAGCCTTGGGGCGCATCTCTGTGGAATCACTATATCTCTCCTAAGAGTCGGACTGTTATCATCTTTCCGCTCAGGTTCTTCACCACATTGTCCATACTCATTACCACCTGCACAAATAGTACTTTATAGCACTCAATTGGAAATATGGCATCACCCCCACCACCATCAAAACAAAACACAGAAACAGACAGAAGGAAAACGAATAAGGCTCAGTTTGGAAGGAGTACAAATGCAAATTTGTAGAGTGTCCTTGTATTTTGTATTATTTTGTATTGATTTGCACTCTACAGATTTTCATTTGTACTCCTTCCAAACTGGGCCTAAAGAAAAAAGAATCCTCAATAAAAATACCCCAGGCATAATCCATAAAAAAAAAATACCCCAGGCATAAGCTCGGCCTTGATCATCGACCGCCAAACAATGCCACCCACCGATAGCTGCCTGAAAGTGAGAAACCAACACTGGGCTTATTTTTATGCATTCAGTTTTCCATCCGTTTTATCTGCCATTAAAATGCATGAATTGCATCCAGTGTCCGGAACTATAATAGAGATTTCGTTTTCCTATATTACCTGAACAATCTTCACGTTAGCAAGAGCTTTAACCTGGCTGGGAATGTTCTCGGTTTTGGTTTCTGGTGGGTGGCCTAAGGTGCCTCTTTGGTTCCATCCCCACGTAAATAGCTGATACCCGAGAAAAGAAAATTACTTGCGGTCCGAGTGAAGGGGAAAAAGCAGACTTGAGTTCTTGGCAATAACCATGGAAAGAAAAAAAAAAAAAAATCTAACCTTTCCATCTTTACATATGGCGAGTGAGTTTCTACTCCCGGCGACAACTGAACAAACGTTCTCAGTCTTGAGAGCGTCAACTGTGCAAACCCAATCTTTCTCTTCATCCTTTCTAATGCCCAACTGGCCATCTTCTCCTGAACCCCTGAGAGAAAGGCAAGAGAACAGTTTCTAAGGTCAGCAACATTACAGTATAAAATCAACTTCCACATTGAAACTGCCTCCAGAATCCAGAGAAGTGACACAGACCATGCTAATATTATGGGACTTTTGGAAACCATGAAGAGATGGAACCTGGGGGTGATCTGGAGGAAAGAACAGGATGAAACAGAAGGAACCAACGACTAAAGACATATATATATAGACGCAAAGGGGGCAAGTGGAGGGAATGGAATTGGACGGGACAACTTGGAGAGAAATGCGCTATTGGCTTATTGCATGTATGTCTCGGTCTCGCAGTGCGGGTACGGATTGTGTAAATTGCACAGCTGTACTTATCTGTAATTCCAGAAGAGGCCGCTTTAATCCATCACCGTGGGTGTTTATTAATAAACGCTGTCAGATAGGCGTCACTTCTGCAATTTTCATCCCATACTCTTTATTGTGTATCGAGAATAATAAAAGTGGATTTAAGTTTCTATGCATGTCTTAAAGACTTAAATGTTTTTTGTAGTGCATAGTGGCTTCTAGTTATCGTAAACAATTGTAATTATTATTTTTTTCGGTTTTATGAGCAAATAAAATACAAACATTAAAAGAAAAAACATAAAAGGAATCAAGTACAATTAATTTATTCTCTGACATGATGGCAAATGTGGTTTTAAAATTTTTAAAAATATCAAAATTATGCTTCTAAATAAGACATCTTTATCATCTTACTTGAACCAAAGCAGTAGTGAATAATAGATATTTGGATGGTTGATAAAGAAAATTAGATGATATCCTATTTCCATCTTTTCATATACCACTTAATGGTGATTAATGATTTTTTACTAAATTGAGACATTTTAGGAGTTCAGGTATTGGATGGACATGATTTAGAATTGGGAAAATCTATGATATAGTTCCTAACAGGGTATTTATAGTAGGAATCTCCGTTTGGTGGTGTAGTTGTCTTCGTGCTGCTTGTTGGTAGCTTTTTGGTTTTGGTTTGTCAATGTTACAAGTTTGTAAATAAAGTGTTTATTTGTCTTTGGTTGTTTTTCGTCGGTCTTTGGAGGAGTACTTTGTTAGATTCGTTTTTCTTTGTTGCTTCTTTCTTTATTTTAGTGCTTTACCCTTTTCAGGGGCTTGTACCTCTTAGTAGGGTTCTTTCCTCTCCTTTTTCTTTGTCTTGCTTTGCTCTAAAGCTTTATGGCTTTCTAGGGAGATAATGTTGGTGGTGGTGGCAGGGTTCAAGATTCAAACTTTTTTTTAGGGGGTGTTCTGTATTGTGAATGAGAAATTGGTGGGTGTGACCTTATGGTAGGGACCAATCCACACCACACCATAGTCCATAGTTGTTCTGAACTGTGAATAGATTATGTGGATCAGACCAGTCCACACCCACGGTGGTGCTCTCTAGGTGTAATATGGACTGATCTACGCCATATTTTTTTTATTCCATATATCTCATATATATTTTATGGGAGATCTACACAGTCAATCATAAAAGTCTAATTTTTGCATTTTATATGGAAAATAATTTGAAAAAGAAAGGAATCAATATGTAGACAACAATTGCATTTTTTAAATAACTAAAAATATTGTTTTAAATATTAAAAAAATAAAAAAATAATATTATAAATATTATTTTATTGATAATAATATTAAATATTTAATATTTAAATAATGAAAAAAGAGTTGAGAGAAGGAGAACTGTCGTACTTGTGTTACAATTAACATTAAAATTATTATTTTATTGATAAAATATTAAAAACTTAAAAATTATTAAAAGATTAAATAAAATGAGAGTAATTGAACCAATGTAACGTAGGTGCATTACATTGGAACATTCCCACAAACTGTCCGTACTATAGTGTGGACCATCCACGAGAAAATACTGTGTATGATAAATTGGGGTGTGGCCCGTCCCTATCTACGCTAGCAGAACACCATATCTTACTATGGACGGAACCAAGATATATACACATTACCAAATGCCACCTAAATGATGAGAGATAATAAGAACCGGAAGTGGGTTTTTTTTACTTTGATTCATACTTCTTGAATAAGGTCATAAATATTTGGATGTTGGGTATGATAAGTAGGATTTTTCCTAGAACGACTTTACCACTACAAGATCTAACTAATAGAGTTTATGGTAGTTGAGGAGTGAATGTGAATAGTCTTCTCATTCAGCCATTATTAGAGATTACTATCGATTCAAATTTATTAGGTATAATGATAATTATGATAACATGAGGACCAAGGTTTAAAGTATCGATACGTATTAGCTGATGCGTATTGTATCGGGAGCTTCCCGATACGTTCCTACAGAGGGTGTATTGGGGTTTTGACCAATTCAGGGGGTGGATGGACCTTAAACCAGGCCTTTGAACCAGATTTGAAAAAAAAAAAGACTACCGATACGCCTCTACCGATATATATTGGGCGTATCGATATTTTGAACTTGTGAAGGACAATAGCCCATGGATTATATGATCAATGGTTAATGTTAGTTGAATGGCAGGAGGGGAGAGATCAACGTAACTTCAGAATTACTAAAGTGGAGGTCTAGATGCAGGTTCATAATCTTCCTTTTGAATAAGTTATATGGTAAAGAGAGGCCACCAGATTATCATTTTTAGCCTGTTGAGTTGTTGAAGCTCTTGGAAATTATTTTCAATGTAATAGTAGACATTGATGATCCTCTTAAAGTTGGTTGCTTTGTGAACCCAACAATTTGGACTAGTAATAAATATGAAAATCTTCTTAATTGAGATATGTTTTATTTGTGGGAAGGTTGGTCACAGCTTGAGAAGATATAACTCCAGTCATAGAGGCGCGTTCTTTGTATCAGGACCTATACACAACCCTAGGCCATGGTTGAAGGTAGACAACCAGTGGCAAGATGATTGGGTTCGACCAACTCTCCAAGGATGCATGGAGGATTAGAAGAACAGGAGGGAAGTAAGTTCTCACGGATCGATCCTTAGGATTAAATTCTGGATCTGGGGTAAGTAGGCGACGGGAGTTTAGGAGTTCCTCAAGGTCAGCTGACCTGAGTGAAGGTAAAAGTAGTAATAGCGTGGAACTAGACCTCTTCATGGGCCGGGTGGCCCGACGGGCCAGCCCGGCCCCCGGACGGGCTTGAACAGGTATATAGGTCTGCGGGCTTAACCTCGGGCTAAAAAGCCCGACCCGCAATAAATTCGAGCCGGGCTCAGGATTTGTCAAAATAGCCCGGCCCGACCTATAACTAAACTTAAAAACCCTAGTTGAATACCCCTAATTTTTTCACCTCTTTTTCCATCCGAATTCTTATTCTCCACATCCTCTTTCTCTTTTTTATATTCTTTTTTTAATATAAATAAATTTTGAATTTATACTTTTTTTAATGTAAATAAATTCTGATTTATATTGATTATTGAATAAAGAAAATTTCTAATTTTTTTTATTAGGTCGGGCTTCGGGCTTTTTATTAGGGCCGGGCTCGGGCCCAAGTTGTAGGCCCATTGATCGGGCCGGGCTCGGGCCCAAGTTGTAGGTCCATTGATCGGGCCGGGCTCAGGCTCGGGCCTAACATATTTTTGTTAATGAAGAGTAAAAGCCCGACCCGGCCCGACCCATGAACAGGTCTACGTAGAACACATGCAGGTGTCTAATTACAGTCCAGGTAATAGTGACGGCAAGTCGAGTTTAGGGGCTAAACCCAATAATGACTGTTTGTTTGCCCAGGCTGAATGTATTTTGGGGTAGTTAAGAAGAGCTAGGGATACATCTAGAGTGGAAGCTATTCAATTAAGCTTCTTGTCCACAATAAATGTTGGAAATCCAAGACAATCCCCGACTCAAAGGGAAACCTCGCTTATTTTGAAGTCGAGTAGTGGGTTGGGTCCTTGGTTGGGTTCTGGATCAATGGGTTTGTTGGGTCTAGAACCTAAAACGTCCCAAAAGATAATTGGAAGAAGACTTGAAAACTGGGGGGTGACTTTTTTTAGACCTAAGCTAGGGAGGGGAGGACAAAGTTGGAGATTCTGATTATTTCTCGAGATGATCAAGTTCCAATGTCTAGAGGGGAAGCTATGTGAAAAACAGAAAAAGTAAATGGTCTTGTCTAGTGGAAGTAGTAATATTCGTATCAAGGAAAGAGGAGAATCAAGCAGTAGTCAATCTTCATGAGGTTCAGCAATGGCTTCTGGCGTGTTTGTATAATAAGTTGATTTCTGGTTAGAATTTCTAGATGTTTTGATAGACTCAAATCTTTGAATTACCGTGTGTCTAACTGATTTTAACTATGATCTTTGTTTATTCTCTAAAGACAGTGGCTTTTACCGACTGTGGTAAAGTTCTCTTAAAAAAAATCATCATAAAGTGAGGAGTTCAAATTAGCTCCCCACAACGTCCCACAGCACATCCCCGCAGTGTATTGAAAACATTTCCCGATAATGATATCATCATTTCTGATATTATCATTAAGAGATGTTTCCAATACATGATGGGGATGTGCTGTGGGACGTTGTAAGGGGCAATTTTGTCTAAGTGAGGCACCACCCAGGTAGGACCTGGGTCAATAAAACCCTCTCAAACTACATGCCTGCACCCTTTCAAAACTGTCAAATACATAATTCCAACAAAGGGTCTCTTTTTCTATTTTTTTTTCAGGAAAAAAAACACTTATAAATTATTTGCTGAAGTTAATGAAATAGCGTTATTATACGTCACCAATACAAGATAAATATTTTCACTCTGTGACATTCAAGTAGCGGTGTAAACGGATCGAATTCAAATCGAATTAGACAATATCTGAATTTGAATCCAATTAAATATTTGAATATCCGATTCGATTCGAATTAAATTAATTAATTATTTTAGATAATTAATAAATATATAAAATAAATATTTTATTGATATAAAGTGTATAAATACATAACTTAATTATTATAAATTATATAAAATATTTTATATAAGAATTAAATAATCGGTTGAATTCAGATATTTATTGAATCGAATCGAATCAGGTCATACCCAAATTTGAATTCGATTAACAATTCGGTAAGAATAGGATATCCGAATTCGACCAATTAGATATTCAAATTATCCGAATTTGATTCAATTATATCGAATATCGAATTCGAAATTGGATTTTCGAATATCATTGACACCCCTACATTCAAAGGAAGTCACTTACATAAAACACAGGATATTTTGGGACTACCTGTACGTTACCACATCTCTACCGATGTACATTACACCTGTGCATTGAGAATATCTCTTGTTATTCATGGGAGATGTTCTTAATACAGGGCAGTGGTGCTCCATGGATAGAGGTGTAGGAACATTTTATGATAGGGTGAAAGTAAACGGGATGGGCTCCCCACACAGTGCGCCCCACAATCCATTCCCCCGTAAGGCCGTGAAGGCATGAATTGTCATGGTTACCCCACTTCTTGTCATGTCTGATGGTCCCCCCACAATTGTCATGGGCCATGAGACACATTCTGTGGGGAGACCATCAGAACTCGTTATAAAGGCACATATGGCTCAACTATACCAACTTGTATTCAGTCCTAACTCCTAACAGGTGCACAGCCACTTGAAGATGTGTATTGGTATTGGGATTTGGGAGCATCTTTCTCGTTACAGAAATATTCCAAATACACAATAGCAAGTGACTGTAAGTATGGTGTGAACAAGGTTCTAAATATCGATACACCTGATACGTCGGTAGGGGCATATCGGGCAGTATCAGTCCTTTTAATTTTTTTAAACCAGTTCAGAAGGCTGATTTAAGGCTCCTCCACCCCCTGAACCGGTTAGAGCCCCGATATACCCTCTGTAAGGGCATATTGGGGTGCTCCCAATACAGGCCGATACATATCAATACTTTAAACCTTGATGTGATGATCTTGTAAAGACTGAACCCGACCTCAAACTATACTCGGCCTCTAACTCATGACTCGACTCCTTCTAACGGATTGGAAACTATACTCGGCCTCTGGCACTGCATCTGTCGGATGGTTCAAAGTATCATATTGTATTATACTATTATATGAGACAGTACAGCTTCTTATTAAGGCTATAGCTATCCTAATCTAATACCCCATCCTAATCTACCTATTTGTAAATTTGTCCAACTTAAAAACTTAAAAAATAAAAACAAAAAATTATCTATAGCTTAAAAATATTCCGGGGCATTTTTTTTTTAATTTTGAGAGGGAAAGTTGGTCAATAGGATTTAAATTCCCATTCACCCAGAAACTATGTTCATTTTTCAGATTTATGTGGGAACCAATGAAAGTTTATTTTCCTGAATATCACTACCCATCTCCCGTAAATTAACTTTATCATTTAGGGAAAAATTGCCAATACTTGAATGAAACAAAAATGCCCCTTTTAATAATAGAAATTTTATGGCTAAAATGATCATTACCTTATTTACATGAAAAATAAAAGAACATGGATAAATACACTTACCCAGGTAAGTGCTTTTACCTGAATAAGTGACTGAAAAGCAAAAGGGGCACCAAGAGTATCGACATTTTGATCAAAGAATATTCATAGCTTCATGCTACCGTAACAGGAAACGAGACCATCTCTTCGAAGAGTGAATACCAACAAACATTGAATCAACTAATGGAACAAAAGCTGAAAGCTAAAGCCAGATTTGTTGGTTCAAAATAATTAAGTACAGCCTATAATCCGCTGAGGTGTTCCAAGCACAAATACCAAGCCATCTAGATTCTTTTGGGTTCATTAAGAAACCTTGCTACAACAGACTGAATCACATCTATAATAAAAGCCTTAAGTGGCAAATACAAGGCCCCATCAGAATAGCCGAACCCAGTATTCATCTGCCATTGCCTCAAGTCAAGATGGATTCATCACTGTTGCCCCTCGCCTGATTCTCGTTTAGGGGCTTCTTTGATCTCATCTCCAGCGTCCTCCTGGAAGCAGAAAAACCAAACAAATTTAGCAAATGGAGAAGTTATGTTAGATTGTTAGTCTTCTTCCCTATATCTCTCCCATTCCAGCCGTTTAGAGACATGATTTACGATTAGGACAATCCACTGGGCATATCTCCAGTCCCCATCCAGATTAGCTCCACATTGACCACTTATTGGACCTTTACCCAAATATATTGGCTAAATGAAAATTTTCTGAGTTCCCATCTTTGGTTTTGACATAGCCAAGGAGTTGCTAGGCTAAAACTTCCCCATTAATATACAGAAGGGAGAGGGGAACAAGTCACTAAGCCCACCAACCTTTCTGCCACATGTAAAAGGGCAGCCCAGTGCATTGAGGCTCCTGCCAATGCGGTGTCTGGGGAGGGACAGATGTACGCAGCCTTTTATGACGTGTGAAAAATATGCCCACTTTTACAGGTAAGCTTTATATTAAAAATTAATACTTTCAACAACTAATATTAGTTTGAGAAGCACAATGAAAGGTGAACCATATATATATATAGAGAGAGAGAGGGAGAGACCGTAATATCAGAAGTCCACAATGTCAAGTTGTCCCGGAGAAGTTGCATGATCAATGTGCTGTCCTTGTACGATTCCTCACCTAAAGTGTCAAGCTCAGATATAGCCTCATCAAATGCCTGGCCACACAGAAATAACACTGTTGTTGTAAGAACAAAACTCATAAACGACAGAGGCAACTTTAAATCAACAAGATATATTTTTCGGTAAGGGTTGATAATGTGTACACACAGAACTGAAGCACAACCCAACTAGTAGCTTTCACAAACAAAGGCTGCAACTAGGATGGGCCCAACCCAAGGATCTAAACCATACAACTTTCATTTGAGCCAAATTCAATTCGTTTAATAAACAAAACAAACTATGTTAGTAGGCCCCAGACCCGCCTAGCCCAAACACGCCTAAAATTTGCAGGCTATGTTTGGACCCACAAGGTTAGGCTTCACCACAGGCTGGGACCAAGCCAGGCCCTGATGTCACCTTCAGGGTTGGACCTTGGTCCTAAGCCTGGCCCAGCCCACTGAAGTTGCAATCCTACACAAAACTGTTATATTATTGATTATATTAAGCTAGAAGCAATGTCTAACAATTGAAACAAGGGAAATGAGATCAATGCAACAGTTCTCCAAATGCATCTAACAAGTAAAAATGAGTCAAGTCATGATCTCTTGAGTCATATAAGGTTCTTGACTGCCTAGATCTATATGAAGACACATTCAAAGTAAGAACAGGAGCATACGGCATGTCCACAATATTTAGAATTTTAGAGCTGGAAGCATCCCCAGTCAAGCATAGAAAAGGGACATCTCATCCAGGCATCGATTTCATGTATTAATACTTGAAACAATAAACCTTCCTTACGCCCTTTTATTTCATAGAATACACCCTTATCTATCTACTCTTTTATCAATTGCCTCATAAAGGAACTAGACATGTACTAAGAATGGCAGATTGGTCCTAGAATGAAGAGATTGCTGTTTAGTAATTAAGTTTGTTAATACGGACAAATCAATCAGCAGACAGTACAAGAAATTTGTTAGTACTTGGTACTTTAGGCTCAGTTTTGTTGCAGTGTAAATTCACTTGCATTAGTGTAAATGCATGCGAGTGCAAATAGGCTCTGTAAAGTGTAAACTCTGATTTACTTTTGCTTCAGATTTGACTGTCTTGTTTGATTGTGGAAAGTGAAACAGGCAGTAAACTGATGTTGTCCCCACTTTATATTCAAGAGAATGGAGGTAGGGGGAGGGTTATTTGTTTAGGAGTGAGGTCGGAAGCTAGATGATGTGTTGGTCCACGCTTTATATGAGAGAGGATTGAGGTAGGTGCAAGGTGGTGCAAATTCTGCATTAGTTTTTGAGATGCAAAATTTGCATTGTCAACGAGTACAATTATGACAAGTACAAATTTCGTATCAGATGAGAATGAAAATCATTACCACGTAGTGCAAACAAATGCATGCAAAAATGAACTGGGTGCAAAATTTGTATCTGGTTCAGATTTGCATTGCAAACAAATGGAGCCTTGGTCTCAAAATTTGGTGCAGAACTGAGCAATTACTAGAGTCAATAGGATTTGGGAGGAGATTAGCTGAGTCTGTACTGGGTCTTAACCCAATGGCTGCCACACTTGTATGAAGATTAACCTTTTCTTTACTTTTTTTCTTGAGAAAAATTAACTGGTTTCATAAAAAAGAGAAAGAGGTACACAAGGAGGTGTACAGATACATAACAGGGGACAGACCCCTGAGAGTTATACAGGAGGAAATTTGTCACAATACAAGGACTCCAGATTGGCACCTAGTTTTGCTAAGCCATCTGCAGTAGCATTTAGCTCCCTTGGAATCCAGTACAGAGAAGAATTCATAAGAGCCAATAGATCTCTTGCCTATGTTAAGAAGTGACCAAGTCTCCACGGTCCAGCTTCCTGTTTTTTTTTTTTTTTGATAATTGAAATGATTTTATAAAACAGCAATAGACAATAGTACAAAGTCCTTAAGGAAAGGTACGAGTTGCAACCTCTCCGAGCTAGTTAAGTACAGATTTCCAAATTAATAACAACTTACATAGAAGCACAAAAAAGATCTTCCCTAGAAAAACCCTGTTTGGCTAAAGCATCAGCCAAAGAATTAGCAGACCTACTRACCCATTTTACCTCAACTCTCATATTGCTGGTTAACCACTTTACTTTTTTGATGAGATCTTTGTAGCCCCAAATGGTGGTATCCAAGTTTATGAGCAACCTGGTTACCACCTGAGAGT